GTTGGGAGGATTGGGGGGGCATTCTGCTGGACAAGATTAGAGGGAACGTGATCAGTGGTGTATGTTGAGTGATTTGCCTTGTCAAGAAGGGCTATCTCTTTATGTGCAAGAGTGGTGAAGGAAAAGGTTTGGCGGGGGGGGGGGGGGGAAGGATATTTAAGTGACCTAAGGTGAGGAGGAGGGAAGAGAAGTATTCAGCGATTCATACCCAGGCTTCCTGATTCCAAATTTAGTACCCTTTCACCTATGCCTCATTGCCTCCTAACATCATTTCCTTAATAACTTCCTCTAAAGGGCAATGAAGAGAAACATGATCATAATACTTTAAGAGATAGGAATAGACAGCTTACAAATGTAGCAGTTATTTCAAAATCAGAGGAGAGGTGAATTGAAATACTAAATTAGAAGGATAAATGTGAAAAGATTATGCTTTACATCATAGCAACAGCTTAGTCTTAACCTGTTAAATATCAAATCCAAAAAATGGGAGCTGGACAAAAGTCAAAACACTGATTTTAATGTAAGTTCCTAGAAAGGTTTATCTTATATAAGAGTTGTCACAGTAGGTTCTGGAAGGATCCAGAAACTCTCTTAACTTACTGATTGAAGAAAACCTCAAAAAGTGCTGGGGAGGAGATGAGAGAACCTAGCATGCTGTCCATTACAAGTATTCAGAGGTGACAGTAGGAAGAGAACAACATAAAAGGATGTAAAGTAGAAAAGTTGTGATGATGTTTTTATACGCATGAGATAATGGATGAAATGTACTTAGTAAATGACTATTATGTAATAAGCAATGGGATAGAAGTAAAAAGTTACATAATCCTGGCCCTCTCGGAGTTATGTTCTGATGAGGGAAATAAAAAAAAAATGCTTGTTGACATGCAGGGTATTGGTAGCTGGGGAAGAACGTTTTGGTCCGGGAAGCCATTGGAATGATGACTGGAACAACAGGACAATCTCTTTTCTGAGCCAGGGGTAGTATTGCTATGATTACAGTTCTCAGAATAAGAGGTGGAAAGAGGGGAGGAGGAGTGGGAGAGGACACACGGGTGGCTACAACACAGAAAGTGGCCAGGGGCAAGTTGAAGATCTACGTAGTGCCCTATTGTCACCAACAACCATAGTTGAAACACTGTATTTAGAATCTGCCAGACACTTAAATGAATGCTTATTGATTGACTATCGCTATAATAGCCAGTGTAGAAGAATGAAGAAAAGCTAAGAAGATAAAGTCAGGAGTATGTATAAAATGTGTAAAAATCTATGTGTATAAAAGAAATGTGGGGTTCATCCGATAAGCATTTACTATTTGCTTCTGTCTACCTGGAGCTATGTTAGGTTTGGTTTTTGAGGATTCAGAGACAAAAATGAAGCAGTTTGCCTTCAGGGAGCTTACATTCTTTTCCTAGATAACCTGAACACAATATAGATAGAAAGTAGTGTCAGCACGATGGAGGCACTAGCACCTGAGAGGATAATTTTTGGAAAAGAGAAGAGTTAGGGGGAACATTATAGCTATTTTCAAATATTTGGAAGGTTGACACATTGAAGAAGAAGTAGCATCTTTTTTTTCTTGACTCAGGGAGCATCATTAGTTGGATAGGTTGAACAGAAGCAGATTTTGGTTCCATATAAAGAAGAACTTCTTAATTAGAAGTGTCTAGAGATGGAATATGCCTTGACCCGGTGACACTACTATGAGGCATACATACACCCCCAAAAGACCAAGGCTGTATATATACAAAGCTGTTTATAGCAGCATTTCTTGTAGTAAAGAACTGGAATAAATTGGTTGTCTGCCTGCTGAAGAATGGCTGTACAAACGATGGTATATGAAGATAATAGAAAGTTATTGTGCTCCAAGAAGTAATGGAAGAGACAGGAGCCAGAGAAGATTTGGATGAACTGATGCAGAGTAAAGTGAGCAGAAGCAGGAAAAGAATTTATACTATAACATCAGTATTGTAGAAACCAACAATCAGACTTATGAACTCTGATTTATATAATGACGGTAATACAGTAAAGAAAAACAACCAGTTTATCAATCAAGCATTTATTAAGCAAGATTCTAATGATACAGAGACAATGAATGAAACAATCCCTTGCTCAGTTATGACTGTAGAAGCTTCATGATGAATCACACTTCCCACTTCTTAGCAGATAAGTAGTTGACTGAAGGTATAGAAAACATTTTCAGAAAGGACAAACACATGAATTTGTTTTCCTTGACTATTCTTATTTATTAGCATGGAGAACTTTGTATTAAATTCCCATTGCTTCACACAGTGCTCGGCACAAAAATAATTGGTATAAGCATACAATAAATGATTGTTGACTATAATACAAACTGTTGTTGTTCAGTTGTTTTTGTCATGTCCTGACTCTTCGTGACCCCATTTTTTTTTTCTCTTGGCAAAGTGGAGTGATTTGCCATTTCCTTCTCTATCTCATGTACAGATGAGGAAACTGAGGCAAACAGGGTTAAGTGACTTGCCCAGGGTCACAGTAAGTATTTGAGACCAGATTTGAACTGAGGAATTGAGTCTTCCTGATTCCAGGCCCAGTACTCTCTCTACTGCACTACCTAGCTGCCCTGTAATGCAAATTACAATGTAATTAAATTTAGTGAGATTTTATCAGGGAGATATTAATTATGTAACTCGAGGACTCAAGTAACTTTTTGTGGAGAAGATGGCAGTTCAGCTGGGTCTTGGAGAGAAGAATTTCAATAATTAGGTGATGTGGAAGTCGACCATTCCATGCGTGGAGTGTGAGTCTGCAAAGATACAGAATCAGGGCAGTTCAGGACTGTGAAGAATCTAGTTTGTCTAGAATGTAGTATGTGGTGAGAGTCCAGCTCATTTGGCCCTTGATTGTAAGTGGCGATGATACAGGGCTGGCCAATACTAGGAGCATAGTTCACTAGGGTAGAAAGCCCATGTGATGTGTATGTTGGAGATCATGAGTGATGCTCTGGTTTGCCTACAAAGTGGCATTCCATTATTCAAAGTGACTGGTATCAATCCAGTCATCTCCACCCGTCTCCCAAACTGGGACTGCCTAGCTTCTTCCCACTTGGAGGAGAACTCTGTGGATCTTATCTCCAGAAACTGTGTCCCCAAACACTGGAGAGCTGCTTCACTCAGCTTTAGGTCTCCTGCCCTGGAGCTGAGTTATTCTGTTGTTTGGGTGACTGATAATGGCTAATTCCCCAGCCCATTATATGTCTGGCCCAAGATCAAACCATGCTTCTCACCCCCTTCCAGAGTCCACCCAGCCATTTTGCCATCTGTCTTGCAGCCACTGCTGTCCCCTGTGATTCCACTCAAAATTTCTGTGCATCTCCAGATCAAACTCCCTTCTCTGACCACTACTCCTTTATTTGTGTTTTCTCCCCTGTTGGAGTATAAGATCCTTAATTTAAGGGTAGGGCTTGTTTTCCTTTTGTGTTACTATCTCTGGTTCTTAGCACTGTGCCTGACATAGGAGGAAATGCCTCCTCATTCATTTCCTTCCACATGATACAAGTCTAGGGTTGAATGCCAAATAGAGGATCAGAGCTTTATCGTCAGAGAAGGCTGACTGGCCTAGAGTGCACAGGTCTAAGCTAGGTTGGTGAGCAGGAGAAGAATCTGAATATATAGTCATGGGTCCAAGCTCAGGGTTTAAGCCAGGCACAAGGATTTTATCTCTTATCCTAGGTATCCAGCTCATTTCTTCCTCACCTCAGTATTTTAGAATCCTCATCTTCCTTTGAGGCTCAGGTCAAGTGTTGCCTTTTCTGTGAAGGCTTCTTTGAATCTTCTTTTTCTTGGTTTTCTGTCCCTCCTCAGATTATCTTTACCTATCTGTGTATATGTTGTATCCCTTTGTTAGAGTATAAGGTCCCTGAAGGCAAAGGTGGCTTGTTTTTGGCTTTATATTTCTAGTGTTTTGCACATAGTAGGTGCATGATAAGTGTTGAATTGAGCTGAAGTGGGTGCAGGATTCAGTGGGGGAGGCTGGGAAACAGTATCAGATCTAAAGTAAGGTTGCAGGTTCACAGAGTGTCTGTCCTAGTGTTCTGCCCCCTTTTAGATGTAGACACTTAAGTGCTAGTAGGAATACAGTGCTTAGGGGGAGAGGGTGCTTTGGTGTTGGCCATTCCATCAGAGAGCTCAGTCCTCCGAAGGGAGCTTGTGCACAGTCTAGCATTCTTCTGAAGAGAAAGAATTAGTAATGCAGATGACCTCAGATCATTTCTAGTCTGGTGTAGACCTTGAAACGACAGAATCCTAGGGTTTAGAGCTAAAGTCGAGTTAATTCTTAAGGTCAGCTTTGATAGAACAGAGGCCTAACTTCCTGGTTTGGGGTGGAGTTTTTTTTGTCTTTGTTTTTTGGATGAGTTGACCCCATAGAATTTGAGTCTTCTCTTCAGCCCTTCTAGTTTGGTTACATTTCCTTAGTGCCAAAGCTAAATCATCCTTCTTTGCAAATGGAGTTTTGGTGAGGAATCCTAGGAACCATAACGTTGAGGAATCTGTACTGCCCCCCTTCCTTGTCCCACCCAGGTGATGTACCATGTTCGGTCTCCTTCTTTCTCCATTCTAGGATTCAGAAGATATCCTGACTGCCTGAGTGGCTGCTTCACTAAAGTTATTACTCATAACTAAGGACATAGTCATTGAGGAATAGAAGAGAAAAGAAGAAAGAACATTTTCCCTGAAGGCCATAGTGTTTTAGTTTCATAATTTAAGACAAAGCAGAACTAAATAATGAAGTTAGTTATGCCATTGAATTTAATATCTCTTATTATTTCTTACCCCCTTTCACTTTTTTTCTTGATTTAAAGCTAACATATTGTATAAATTCATAAACATACTTTCCATAGGAACTGTGTAAATTCAAAGAAAACTGTTTATAGATTTCTTAACATTATGTGGTTGAAGAATTGACAAAGGCTACGGTGACTATTTTCTCTCTCTCCCTCTGTCTTTCTTTGTTTCTCTTTTTCCTAGGCACAATAACCTTCGTGTACGCCCCAAAGGACTCTCCACTCTGGTGAAGAGTGGGGTTCCAGAAGCGTTAAGGGCAGAGGTATGGCAGCTACTAGCAGGCTGCCATGACAACCAGACTATGCTTGATAAATACCGAATTCTTATTACAAAGGTAAGAGTTACTTTTTGTTTTGTTTGGAACAGATATTAAAAGAATTCATTTTACATAGAGCTCAGATGGCACACTCAGTCTTTCTTGTCAAAGTGATTGGAAATGTGTGATAAGTAGTTTTTCCTTTTTGACACAGACCTAGACTGGATGGCAATAAATAGCAAAAAACCCAGTTACCTTAAAGTGTTTCTGGCCTTGGCTCTTCCTTTTTGGATTTGTGTTATTTTATAACAAGGGCATACCATATTGGGTTTTATTTATATGTTAAATATTTTCTAACATGTTTTGGTTAACATTAACATTATGAGATTTATAAATATCAATTTCTCTGAGGCCTCAGATACACAAATGTAATTGAAAAATGAAAACAGCTTAAGAATTTAATTTTCACAAGCTTTCTCATCCCTGGGAGCCTAGTGGTATGGGTGTTACAGGCAGTTAAGTTACCTCTCGCCTTTTTCCGTCAGGGCTTTTGTGGGGACCATTGTGAACTCTGTCGTCCAAGTCTCCACCTTGATGGTAGAGATAAATCTTGGTTTAGGTTAGTTAGGGGGTCCCTCTTTCAGGTTTTTGCTTCCTAAGTTCCATATGTGCTGAAAATTTTGAGATTAAAATTTTTTTTTTTACTTTAGCTTTAGAAGGAAAGATGGTGTCTCATTGTTTAAGAACCCTTTGGCCCCAGGAGAGGTAGAGTAACTTACTAAAAGCTAGGTTGTAGCACGTAGGAGGATTGCCCAAGAATCATGATGTTTGTCAGACTAATTCATTGACTTCCATGATGTTTATTTTAAAAAGGGGATAGCAGCAATAACTGGGATTGACAAAAGAGGAATAAGTGTGGTATTCTTTTTCTTTCCTTCCCACTTATCCATCTCCACCCTTACTCCACCCTTAGAGTTTACTTGCTGATCATCTTAAATTTTTGCAGTGCCAGCAGCCATACCTAATAGGCGAAATAAAACAAGGCATTTGCAAGAGTTCTTGTGCTGACCTGAAGATGACTAGGTTCGCCAGGATGGAGCTGAAATTGTTCTCCGAGGCCATCTTGTCCCATACATACCTGAGGAGGTCTAGTGATATCCTTATTGAATATTCTAAAACTCACTTGGATCTGTGACCTCATTAATTTGAGAGTTCCCTTCAGCGATACAGATCACCATCCATGTATTCTTGCCCATTTCATGCTCCTCGTATATATTCTCCCCAGAGTTCACCCTAGGGGATTTGTCCGATGTTCTGGAGGACTTTCTGACATTAGGAAGATGCTAGTGGAGCATTCAGAGTTTTTCTTTTGTCTTCCCATGCCCTTAGGATCACAAGATCCTGGCTGTAGAGCTAGGAGTGACCCCAGAGGCCATCTGGCCCAACCCACTCCTTTTCTTTGACCATTGGGTACCCTGCTTTCTTGCCGTGTGACCAGCCCATCTTTTCCTGTTATATAATTTTTAGGTGAATTGGTGGATAAGTAGAAAGAAGTGACCCAAATATATGTTTTTCCATTCCAAACTGAATTAGCCTCTGACTAATTTCCAGCTCATTATATTTAGGAGGCTTTTCTTACTGGTAATGTGTATTAAACACCAGTAGATGCCTCTTTCTGGCATGACTTATAGCCAATGCTAGAGCAACCAAATAAGGTTAGGAATACATGCCTGGTGATCACATCTGTATGTAATTAATCACATCACTACCCAGGTGATCACTCAGGGATTGGGAATTTTAATTAGGGTGAGGAGAAAGATAGACAATTACCCAGGTCAGATTTAATTGGGGAGAGGAATTTTGACAGCAAGAGGGCAGCCTGAGTGCATTGGGTATCTGGGGAAGGAGAGCAAGCAGTCCCAGAGGAGTTTGGATGAGAAAGTATGAAGGTGATAAAAATGCATTTGGCCTATTTTTAAATTTTTGTTTAGTGCTCTTCTGTAAAATGCTTATGTCGAAATTGAGATATTAGGACTGGTTTAGATGGAAGTATACCTCAGAATCCTCCAGTTCATTCTGGTCTTCTCTGTTGAGGCTAGTTCAATTCATCTATTCCGGTTTAGTCTGCTGTCTCCTGATCAAAGCCATCCTTTCTTTTATTGAGAGGAAGAATTAAAAAGAAAAAGGAGAGTATGGAGACATTGTATACTTTGTCTCCCCTCTCATTGTTGATTAACAATTGAGTGCAATACAGCATTTGTGGAATTTCCACGTTTGTTCAACCTTTAGAACGTATCTTTTGTCAATGACAAAGGTTTCCTGTAATTATTTGTAAAGGATTTTCCTTAAGATGTATAATTATGCATCTCCACACTGCTATTTACTATTGGTAATGGAATCTAATTGTGATGGTGATATGCTGTGGTATTTAGTTTCCAACCTAAGAATGGCCCACAAAGAACCTGTATCTTCCCTTGCTTTTTTTGGACAGCTGTATTGAATATGTGATATTTGTTTTCTTAAGAAAAATAATTGTACTCAATAGACAGAGTAGAGAATATCAGGAAAAACTGTAGTCAGTTGACTCATTTACAGTAGCAGTAGTTAAAATCTGTTGTGGAATATTGTTCTTTCAAAAGTGTATGTAGGTCAGAGCTTATTTTAAAAAGGCAAATATAAACTGTTACATATTTAGTTATTATCAGTACTTAGGACTGAATAATAAAGTATAATTTTAAGGAAATTAATCAGCACAGTTCCCAATTCACTCTACTGATGAATGACAACACAGAAATGTATGTAATTTGATTTCCTTTGTTAACTGCAGTGTGATTAAAAAAAAATACCCTAACATTTTAATACAAGTAATTTAGAATCCTATGACTGTGGTATCGTGCCTATCTTCAAAACTCATAGTTTTTTGTAAGAGGAAGTATAATGGTATCTTAAATTTTGTCTCAATCTTTCCTTTTGAGGAGAAAAAATGTGCTTTAACTTTTCTGTTATGAGGGAAGGAAGGGGACTTATAGAAGTCACAAGATTTTCTGGTTTTTTATTTTTTTGATGGTCAGTTAGCCTTTTTTGTTTATGAGATGTTTATGAAATGTTTAGAGATGAAACATAAGGAGGACCTCTGCCTGTTGTTGGTGATTGCTCCCTAAATATCAGTCTCTACTTTTGACCCAATTTAAAATATTCTTTCTTCTTATGTTAGTGGGAGGATTTCCAACACTTAGATCGGTCAAACATACCAGAATATGTGGTCATAGAAGACTTATATTAAATGCATCAGAGTACCCAAGCAGTTTGTGAATTCTTGCAGATGAGTGCCACTGGTGTGTATTTGTTCTGGTGCTGGTGCTGGTGCTATTTAGAAACTTCTGCCTTTGAGAGAGATTTGTTCTATATTAAACTGAATTTGTATTTCAATATATACAAGTTTCAAGTGTCACTTTGGAAACTTTCTTCTCTAGTTATACTTATATGAAATGCAGATAGACTCTCCTATTTAAGATCCCAGAAATGTATGTCCATTAATTTCCCACACATTATTTGTCAAAATATAACTCCTTATGGAAGTAGTTCTTATTTTCAAATATAAGGTTTTGACTTTTAAAAGACAACTACTATATAATTTGGTACCTTTCTCATTAATTCTTAACTTTTATGTTACAATACCACCTTCAGTTCTTAATTTGGAGTAAAAAACCTTTCCCTTTTATTTGTGCTCAAACTTTGAGCTGGTTTAGCATCAAACTACTCTTGAGTTTTAACAGTGGTACTTTTGTCTTTGCTTTTGCTGTTTCTGTTGAATAAAGAACATGTCCCATTGCAGTCCTGACCTATGATTACATGGTTCTAGTAAAAGAGACACAGGATCACAGACTCTCAGAGCTAGAAAAAGGAGCTCAGAAGTTATCTGGACCTACCTCTAATGGAAGGAAGGAAGAAAACAAGCATATATTTAGCACTTACTGTGTACCTGGTACTGGGCTAAGAGCTTTACAGATATTTCATTTCGTCCTCACATCAGCCCTAGGAGGTAGATGCAATTTTACCTCCATCTTACAGGCAAGGAAACTGAGGCAAACATGTTAAGTGACTTGCCTAGAGCCACATAGCTAGTACCTCACCTCCACAAACTGAATCCACTCTTCTTAAGTTGCCATCCATCTTGGAGTGCTCATTATCCAGCTGCTGTTAAGTAATTTGCATTACCTATAAATGGGACTTATTTTTTCCAGCATCATTTCTCTTAAGCTCATTAAATTGAAGTGATTTTGATATAAAGAGGCCAGCTATTTATAGTTACTGTAATTAGCTTTAAAATACAGTGTGGGGGCTTAAATATTTCCCATCATATAGAATACATACCTCTTTTCTCCATAAGATATAAAAGGAGTTAAATGACTACATAGGCCTTCTGGCCAGAAACAGTGTAATTTCAACTTTATTCTTTTTTAATACTTCCTCTCCCCTCAACTATTTCTAGTAGTAGCAGCCGCTAGCTAGTGTGTGATTCGATTTGTGTTTTAATATTCATTCACCTATATATATTTGTTGCCTTTTTGGAGCAGATTAGTTTTATAAACTGAGTCAGATGTTGTCTTAAAAACTGTCTCCGAGCTATTTTCTTAAATATTGCATCTACTTTCACATGGACGAGAAGAGTTAATAGAAAGACATCATATATTGAGATGAAATTTAATAGGAATAAATATTGAGACCCCCACTTTGGGTAAAAAAAAAGAGGAGTCATTTAAGTTCAGGATGGAGGATAGATATGTGGCTAGGCAGTAGTAAATGTGAAAAACTGATTATGAAAAAAAAAACAATATGAATCACCAGCGTGATTAGCATGGCAGCCCAAAAGCTATCTTAGCTAGCATTAATGGAGGCATAGTGGACATGTTAGTTCTTCTGTGTTCTCTGCTGTGATCTAACCCCTTTTAGTTTTGAGCCCACTGCTGAACTGAAAGCCTACCGCTTTCAGTTTTGAGAGCATGTTATGCAGTTTTGCAGTGTGTTATGAAGGATATTGACCATTTAGACTGGAGAAGGGAGAAGAGGATAAGCAT